TCTTCTCCCGTTTATCGTCATTCTCGTCGTCTGTCTAATGACGTCTACGAGGAATATACACATGTTAGTACAGTCCTTATTAATTCTCGGGAGGCTATAAAGTAGTAGGGTTAACTATGTAAATTGCTATAAACAGTTAGTGTCGAGGTAGTTTCGACACTGAAGCGTGCGCTACCTTGTTAGTGATATCTCCCGTCGTTGAACGAAATCTCCTCTCTCATACACCGAAATGGGTGTAAAACCTTTCCTAATACACTTAAGTGGAAATTCTGAATATCTACCACAAATTCAAAATCACTCCATTAAAATAAAGTTATAACAAAATAGCAGCAAAAGTTCGGAGAAAGGAATGACAAGAACAACATGGAAGTCCATACAACATCCTTGAATCTCCAGAATCGTCTCGAAAAACAAAACACACGTATGATAAGTATCTGAGGGTACATCACATAGGGATAATTTCCTTATGACTTGTGCTAATGGTACAGTGTACATTTATCTTGTTTTTGTTCGGGTTTGCTGTCTTTCCGTTTGATTACGTGATTCCTCATTCTTTCCGTCTTTGACTTTGTAGCTGTGGTTTGGTATCATATACGATAATTACCAGGTGGATAGAGTATCAACCATAATTTAGAATAACTGCAAAAAAATGAAAAATATGCTAATAAGTAGTAATTTGACACGATCAAATTTCTGTAAACGATGTAACCAATGTTTTGCAAAAAAAAATGAACTGAACCAATATTTTGGAAAATTCCATGTACATTAACGCCGTCTAAAGGAGCAAACAGAGGTATCGATATAACGACATAAGTTGTGAAAGAAGCATTTTCTGTTTGTCATTTGTGACTCGGCAAAATATCTGTTTTGATATATTAGTGTAGCCAATTACGTCTTTAACAGGACACGTACTTAAACAACTTATCTATTTCATCAGAGAAAAGGTGGCAACAAATAGAAAAATTCCTTTAAGAAGAAAAAATGTAATAATATATCTGTTAATCACTAAATCGTTTTTAACACAACAAATGATAACGTTTTTAACGTGTATATATCTCTACATCATCACGACCTTCTTTACAATACAAAAGTTGTTGACGTTGTGTACGTTTTTATCTTTCCATCAGTGCGCCATTGGTGTGTAGCTTGTACGCAGCGTGGGGTCTCTCTGTTTCAAATATGGTGGCGACGTGTGCCTAACAAAAAACAAACAGAAATCTTTATTGTCGATGTACATTAAACAAAATGTTTAAAGATTGAGCAGATACAGCTGGAGGATCTACTATACTTCCCTTTCAGAAAAACGCTCACAGTCCTGTCGTCTGCTCCGACAATACACGCACATGAGACACGCGCGGCAATCAACAGCTATTCAGACGGAAGTGCGTCAGATAGTGTATAATACTTTTTTTACCTTTTGTTTATAAAGAAGTTATTTTTTTCAAAAAAATGAAGTGCATTCCTTGAATGCATTCTATTATCTGACGAATAAAGTACTTCTTTCAGTTTGCTATGTCATTATAACATGGTCTGTTCGTTATGGTCAACAGTGTCATATCATTCCGATGTATCTTAACATCTGGAACAGTATATTATTCTGGTGTTATTGTTTTCTATAATTGTATACATGTATATGTAAACGTAACAAATTGTGTAACCCGTCACCGAATACTTGGTTTGGTAAAGTACTCTGTAAAAGTGTTACATTCGGACATATTTGTGTTTCCTACATAAAGCAGAAGTATTCTGTTACCACCGATATATGTTAGGAATGTGCTATTTAGAATTTAGACAAGGTGAACATTTTCAAATATTTGTAAGCACTCGTTAAATTTCACGTCCTTTATATCCTTCTAAAATATCAAAATGTGTATTGCTTTCTTCTGTTTAACAAGAAAACATGATTATACTCTACAACGTCATTGAGAAGATAGGAAGATGGACATCGGAAAAATTAAAATAGCCACCAATCGTTCTTTACATAGTTTCCCATACAAAAGCGTTCTTCTGTAACAATTTTCCTACATATTTGTTGCGTATTCAAATCAATCAGGAACTCTCTTCTCCTCTCTGCAGTTTCATTTATTTTTTCAGCATTATGTCACAGATAGTGTAAGGTTTTAAACACTTGTAAGTTTGTCAAAAGAAATTGTTTAGAAATGGGTTTACCATTCTTGACATTCTTGTGTAAGTCGTTTCTGTTAATAATTGATTCTGCTGAGCCATTACAGCGCAGTTTGAGGAAGAAGCACTTGTTGCACTCTCGACTCAAGGGTAGCCGCCTGGCTTAACATGTCAATTTGAACCTTGAAATCTTATTCCTAAGTCTTGTTAAATGAAAATGTTATACAAACATTATGTATTTAATTCTGGTTTTGGCAAATCTTATTTGTGGCAACCCTACCAATGGTTTAAATATATTTTTCAACTGCACAGTTTTACTGTTAGCCTATGTCAGAACCGGCTTTTTCAACAGCGCTCGACCCCCAACCCTATACTTATGCAGGGTTAAGTTGTATCCCGTTCATTAAATTTTTAAAATCACATGATACAGCTTAGCTTTACAGATTTCTGAGATTTCAGAGTCTACCATAATTAAACACTGCTCTACCTTAGATCATTGGTGACCTGCATAATTTCCTGTAGTTGACGATGAGACATCGTGACGCGCGCCACGTGTGTAAAAGAAACTCTTATCCTTAAACGTTGCTTTGCTTCCGGATTTTTCTTGGTCTCATTAGGTCCTGTCCAATTCGACTGATGTTTGATTTGTTTTTTAGCTATTTGGCAATTATCTCTTTTGTGTTGTTTTCTATTTTTGCCTTAACATGCTTTTTTTTTTTAAATAAGGAAATTAAATCAATTTCTAAAATTTAATATTTATTTCAAATAAGTTATCATCGTGTATGCTTCAATAATGAATGGAATAGCCATCTCTGAAAGGGAGGGTCAGTAGCAAATGTTATAGGTGTACATTTTGTAAGACGCTATATACAATGTAATAGATTGTGAAAACAAATTAATTCTCGTAGTCAAATACAATATTTGTGCTGCTCATGTCGTTTTGGTTGTCTTTTGTACGTATAACCTAAGCGGTTTAACATCGTGGGAATGATTCTTTAAAAGGAATTCCGCAATTGTCTTTTTTACCTGTATTTTACTTCCTGATGACATAATTCTGCCTGGCTATATAAAAAGCCTATAAACGTCAGGTTACTGCCTTATAGCCCCACATGTTAACATTGACAATAACGGCTTACTAACGAGTAACAATCAATCAGACGGACGTCGAGCGGTCCAATGACACGCTCAATCTTAAGTATTCCTATCGACATAGATACTATTATTTACGTAAAACAGATCCAGTCTTAAATATTTTGATTCCTTTTAAACAGACTTTATGTTTTATTATTGTTAAAAAGACAACATTAGATATGAATGTTAACCAAGGTATATAAATCTGATGAATTAACCTGTTAAATCGAAGTCCTCAAATCACGCCGTATACTGAGGTGACAGTCTCGATATAACGTATCAAATATCTAACCAATACATCAAATGTTAAAAAGGTACAACGATTCGTCATTGGCCGCATGTACGACAAGTGTATGACTCAATTCTTAATCAATATAATCATATAAAAACAATTATTATTGTTTTAGAGTCTATACCCTCTACACGGTAAAGGTTGTCTGTCGGTCCTAATTAAAGGTCCTGTATAATAAAAGGTTTCCAGTTTGGCATTTCCTATTCTACCCCGTGTCTAAGAGGAGGTTGAATAAACAATCGCAGCTGGTAAGGTCGAACGGTGCAATGAAAGCGATAATACGATACGTTATATTACATTTCCCCATTGTCAGATTGGAGTACTAAATTCTCGCCTGACCGAGCTTCAATCAATCATCTGGAGGATTTTGATAATCATTTTTACCTAGCAAAGACTGAATACGTTTTATTAAACATTGTTAATGTTGAATATGAACAAAATGAAGTTTCAGGTGGAAATACTTAATTTAATGTAAAAACAACTCCAGGTGAGAGATGCTTGTTTTGGATGATACACTTTTAAAATACAAAATAACAATGAAAAGATTTGTATCTAATTAAGATTTAATAAGAAATTTACTTCTTGTTTTCAAATATTTTAACATTTAAATAAAAACATACGCAGCCAATCAATGTATGTAAAAGATTTTGGGAAAAGGGTTATTATAAAGTGTGACAACGACTATTTTAATAGAGCAACATTCAGTGTCTTAACAGAATATTTTTTAAATTAGAAGATAATAAAACAATTCTACAATGAGAGAACTACATTTGAAAACTTAAGTTTATATCGTAAAATTGGGGTGTGTGACACGAGTTCTACTTCTATAGGATATAAGTCTGCTCGTACACAGCCACAAACATACCTTGCCATGACATTTTACTAAGTTTGGAAACGTTAATAGCATAATTAATTATTCGTTTGAGGTGCAACAGTATGAAATGAAAACAAACATTTCGGATGTCCTTTGTTTGCACGTTAATAAACCGACAAGCGTTTGTTTGCAGGTCAATTCTACAGCAGATAATATACACTACAGTTTATAGTCAAATCGATGGAGGAAAAGGATAATTAAAGAGTACAATATGTGAGCAGTTCTATAGATCTGGTCGCCATGGATCACATCTTCCGGTACAGTTATATTTTATAACGATGCAATGACTATTCCCGGTAGCAGTTAAATGTTGTATCCAGTTTCTGGAAAACACATTGATAATTTATAAAGGTATTGCTAACTATATTCAATTAAAGCTAGGTGATCCTTTTTCCCCGAGAATAGATTTTTTTTTCAAAATTAGATGTTGTGTAAGTTGTTTATTGATTTTGGCGATATTAAACCTTTACGTAAATAAAAACATCGAAGGGTACACGTGTTTTCAACCATGCGGACATTAAATCTAAATGTGTTCTATGAACAGGAAGTTCATAAATAAAAACAAAGAATTAAAAAATATTGTTTTTTGTATTTTATTTTACAAAATTATTCCGATATTTAAATGAAAATGAATCTCAGATGACATGTCAGATGATAGAAGTAATGACGAAGATAATACACTAATCGTAATGAAAATATGTTCTCTACATTATAGTAACCATTCTATGTACAATAAATAAAATGAAATGGAGTTTTACAAAGGCTCACGACAATGATTTAGGTCTACAAGTGTCTCACAATCTCAAATACATAGAACAATAGCACTGTCGATTGGAGTTATACAGGGAACAAATACCACACAAATATATATACGCATAACATATCTTATAATGGACATATCAGTCCTTCGTAACCGGCTTGCTAGATTTCTATAGTTTTACCGACGCTATAATTGAGATAGTTCTACAATTAAAATGTGAATTAGGTACAAAACAGTATTTTATCGAACGTATTGAAATATATAGAAAAAGCAATACTGCTCTTATAAAATCAATGTGTTGTTCAATGTATGTACCGACAAATATTTTAAATCGTTCGAACGGCTTACACGCATAAGATCCCTGCGATTAAAATGATGTATTGTGGCGTAAGAAGGAGGAGTGGCTGAGCGGTACACAAGTACTATATATACTTCCGGTTGGATTAAAAAACAATATCACGTAAAATAATGGACAATTGTGCAATTTACACGAGAATATCTTTTGGAAGCCGTGAAAATGAGTTTACAAACGAACGACTTCTGTATTGTTTACAAGGAACTTACATACAAACATATTAACCTGACGTTATCCTTATCTTACTCATACAGCAGATTTCTTTGTGAGCACTGATGAATATCTCATGAGCAACACTTGCGTCTAAAAATGCCAAATGATGATTTCTATTATCGAAAATTTAACATTTTTTCTATTCCATCCCATTAATAATGAAATATTAGATTATAAACTATGATATCTTATTGGGTCAACTGTGGCGTTCAAAATGAATATTCATACACACATTGTAACGAATTAATTTTCTAAGAAAAAATATATAAATACAATTTGAAAGAATAATTTTGATGCCATTCTTGGAATAGAGTAATGTATGATGAGTTCTATATAAACTAAACACTGACCATTTTCCTTATAAGTGTATTTACAAGTCCATGTCCTAGTACGATCGCTTTTATTCTAATCATATTGATCTGTCCTTGCACAGTCGACATGGTAACATCAACGTAAACGTGTCAATGACGTCATCAGTAATACAACACAGCGACGCTTTAATGAGGTAGATGACACATTTTTGAAGTTTTAAAAGGTAATGTGAACGTATGAGTCCGGGTCACGGCTCGAATATTATATTCACCGTCGTCTATACAGGCAACAGCAAAAGTGCTACAAGGTTAAAATATGACGACAATCTTCAAAAAATCAATAATTAACTTTCTAGAAGTAATTGTACAATTAAGCGTCCCGCGCCATCTTCCCATCAAAAGGTCACGGCAAACACTTGCAATTCCGTATGATTGTTATGTAATGCCGGTGACCAATAATGTTTTAGTGTTAAAACTAACACAAACGTATACATGTTGTTTCTTGCATGCATGCTTAATAGCATAGTAAATGCCAACATGATGTACTGCACATCCTCCTCCTCCTCGAGAATCAGCAAGTCCTGGTAGATCTCAGACAGCGGTCAATATAATGACACAGTAGGTAGGCGTGTTGCAATATGTGTACAACAGAAAAAGCAAAATGGCGTCAGCTCACTTTACTTTCAATACCAATGCCTGAAATACGCATGCGCAATACTGGGTTGAAGAGACATAGCGTTCCTTTCGAAATCCCTTAGATTGGTTGAATATAACTCGCCATTAATAATGTACGATTACAAAATTCATTTGAATTGTTTTCTTTTGCCAATCTGTTTTTAACAACGTCTTCAATGTCCTTCGTTTGTATCCTACTGTCATTTTTGTCATAAACGTACGATTCATCACCCATGTCCAAACGTTCGCGCTACATTTTGAATGTTTGAATATATCATGAGATCTCGTTAGTTAGATGACATTGATAGATTCGAAATGCAGTTGTGCTTATCTACATCCACACGCCTTGACTGACATGCTGGGGTAGTTCTTGAGCACGACGTTCCTGTTACTGTCGAAGAAGAGGAGTGTGATGGAAGAGAGAGACTCAGGGACACAGCACGGGGCTGGCACGTCTGTGTGGATTCCTATGGCGTGCACCATGCTCTGGATCGTCGCATGATTGGACGGTCTTAGTTTCTGCAATGATATAATAGAACAAAATATTTCAATTTCGATCAATTATTTAACGGTGCCATTGCAGCTTGATTGCTTATTTGATTACAACATTGATATAAATCCGCTCTACTCAACTACCTAAGTTCTACTACATTCATTTGAAAACAAAAGTACACCTCACAAATTCAGCAATGTAGTAAATACATGTACTATATCAGTAACGAAGCTCAATTTTGGTAAACGACATTTAAAAATAAAATAACATGTAATGAAAATATATTAAAACAATGCATGTGGATCGTCAATCCTTAATTCCCTCGGAAGTAAAAACTATTTGTGCGCTCATGCAATACACATCAACAAACGAATCGGAGAAAACGTATGTATGATTTCTTTGTCTCCTGATCAAATACTAACGACACGTGCAGAGTTTCAGTCTATCAAAACCTCGTTAGATATACAGAATGGGTCATACTCTATAGCAATCTGTTTCGAGTTAGACATAATTACAGCGCGTGCATCAGAGGGGTCTTTTGGTGATACCAATTACAGCGCGTGTATCAAAAAGGATTTTCTTAATCCAACTGACTCACAAGAACATAAGCTCAGGCGTTACATATTGCATAAAACCATAGTTTTTCAACATTTAACCACATTAAAACAAGTTTGTTTAAGTTAAAAGAGTGCACCCGTACGCTTGAATGTAGTGCAGTTTGGGAGAAGGAGGGGGACAGGGTCGACAGGAAGTTCGAATGATTACCAATCCTGTTAGAATGGCACATGGGAAGGAATTATCTCCCTCCGAACCGGAATGAACCATGTAGGCCATCGCTTTATCAATTGTTGACCAACCAACGAAATGCCAATTGTTTCACACGTATGGGTCGTTAGGTGAAAATAGTTCGCTTTGAGTATCGCTGCTTCTCCATTTTATACCGTTTAAATCATACGTGATTTTATACACACAAAAAATACAGCGAGGTAAATCGGAAATGTGTGCTGTAAAATAAATGACATTGACAAGCTAATAGGCAACCTCACTCACACAAAAGAGAGGTTCGAGATTTGGTCTAAACTAATATCTCTAATTCTAAACCAAGTGCCATTTTGTGTGGCCCTCCCCTTCTCATGTGTGCTGGCTTATTAGGTGAAGACATATGTCTCGTCCACTCCCATTCGTTTCACATCGACTAGTCGATAGAAAGGGGCAATCAAAGTGACGGCTATAGGAGGGCTGACATACCCGATACCACCCTAAAAATCCTTTAATACTAATGTACCTAGAGTTTAACCTCACCTTACGTACTCAGGGAAACGACTGGAGTTTTGTCGAAAGCATAGTAAGACTTCTTCCTGAAAACTATATATGCCATTTTCCTTATTTGCTGTTCTCAAAATGTACGATTTCTATATTCCAAGGCGTGAAGCAGCCAACAGGAATTAAATTTCCTTTTTTTTGTCGTTAAAAAAATATTATTGAAAATGATTTTTAATTACAACTTAAATAAAACTGAAGAACGTAAGCGTACCTGGACGTTTAAATATGCAATGGGGCATTATAATATAACTGCAAACATATTACACCGTGTTAAAGAACTGAATGAAATGAGCAACTGTGTTGTGTGAGGTGTGAAGCTTTACAAATCTAAGAGGGTACTACCATAGCATCAATCTACCGTCACCATAACGTATTGTTGTCTCCCCAATACAAATTATATCCCGTACAAATCATCTCACGTTTAATATATACACGGCTTAAATCTACATGGTATATAATGATATCTGGTTTCAAAAAGTCAATTGTATGCATGAACAATTCATATTAATCTTTTAAATATCTTTTCAAAATGTAAGTTTTTCAGTCCGTGTAAATAAGAAATTCTATTACGCTTTAAGAAGATCAGCAGAGGACCGGGGTACAATCACCGTACTGCCGATATATTATTACACTTGTAAAATATGCTTTAAAACGTGGCGTGAGTTCATTGTGAATTCTAAAGTGAGATGGAGAGTTTCCGTGTGGAAGAGCGTTGGACAACTTAGTTACACGAACAGGAAACAGGCAATTTACTAAATACAACTATAGATGTGGAATATCTTGTATAAACAAAACACATCAACATACGTTACAGTACAAAAGTAGAGCGGTTCAAGGCCGTGTAAAATTAAATTGGATACACTTTTACATTATAAAACTATTAGAAATAAAGAAATTATAGAAAGAGACTCGTTAAGTTTTGTAAAATTTTGCCCAATCCCATTGCAACTTATGGCAATGCAGTTTGTTAAAACTGAATGAAAAAGATGTGTTTGTACAAGTGGTTGCCTTTTTGTAGAGAACGTTATTTTGGTGTAGTGGAGCTGATGTCTCCGACTTTCTCAGTTCTCCGACTTCCTTTTAGTGTACTCAGGCTGAGAGATGTGTTTACGTTGTGACTGGTGTCATAGGGTCCAAACCCCAGGATTCCATTGAACGTCGATATGAAGGAGATTGCGGGAGCAAAAGTTCTCCCTGTTCCTCCAACAATACTGACCCTTGTACAATGTAATGGCCTTTAGATTTGTATGGGACGTTCACACTGGTGTAAGGGTTATGTTATTAGTGTTCACTACCGTGAAGCGGAGGATCAACCAAGCTTAACTTTGATATTTTCTGGATGAATGGCACTTAAAATATATTTTCTGTGGTCAACGTGATACAGGAAATATATAATGCTTTCTAATAGCCTGTTCCGAAAATAACTGTCCGGAAATCTTACAGCGTGTGTGTGAATGTTCGCTTACTGTATCCAGTCTCATTACATGTATTAATTCAGGAATCATCGCAATGATGATTAGAGCAGTTTAAGTATAATTGAGCAGACTCTATAGTTTTCCTCTCACTTAAGTTTGATTTGGTCCACAGTTAGTTAACAGAGAGTCGTGTTCGTGGGTTAGGTCCACGACTTCAAACAAAGCTGGTTGACCCAGCTAATTTACTGGCGACAGTTTGGTGTATGGTGATAGGGCGTGCGGGCTGCCCTCGACAACCTACCCCGATGTTTACCCGTGCTGCTTAATGAAAACCTTTGTAAACATTTCTAGATTACTATCACAGAGAATTCAAGTGTTTTTGTAGTTTTCTGATAGCAAACAAATTTGCGTTGATTTGATATATTTATCCGGCCTCTGATCTCGCCTGTGTATAGGGTTTCGTTTTCAGCATTGTGGTTTTCCTAGTAGTCTTATAGTCAAAGTGCTGTCACAGATTTAGCTAGCACAAATCACTTCATTCATACACTTCAGATTTTCCCCAGCCGTGATGTCTGGAATGTTAAGGTTGTTAACAGTTAACCTTTCCGGAAGTGATACCTACAGGGAAGTTGTATCAACCCTTGGTACATGTAGAATTTAATTTTCACCTGCCCAGTTAACAGTAGATAGGGAAAGTATCTCACTACATCATTGGCCTAACATCATCAGATATAGACAGTGGGATATTCCAACATTGTTATTTATAGGGCCTTCTTATTTAACAGCTTGTGCAGCGTTAGCAATATCAAAGTGATGAATAATCCAGAATTATATCAATATATATTGGTTTAAACAGTGCTCTCAGGCTTTACATTTTATTCTAGTACTCCCATTTGCTATTTTTATTTGATCGCGAACGTGATATTCAGTTGACATAACAGATATACTATCATATTGCACCTATCGAAAACTTTACATAATAATCAATTCCTGTCATCAAATCAAACTAAACATTATGATTTGTGTGTATCAAAGTGAACTCACATCAACTCCCATTGAGAGTCAACACGAACGATAAAGTATGAAACCAATGAACGAGTAGATATATTATTTAGAAGCTCGTGGTGAATAACATCATTCAAAGGTATCGGCTAATTTTACTATCCTTTTCCTGCTAATTACCAGCAACATCGGATTCCAGTAAAATACTACGCCAACTCTATATTTTTAGAGATAATACATCTATAAATATTAATGAGTAATTGCATGTTTCTTAATATCACAAATTCTAAGCAAATTCCATATTTCTTAATACATGTATATATTAACACTAGACTAATTCTCTATTTTCATAATATATTTAAATTCTAGACCAATTTTACGTTTCTTAGTAAATAAACACTAATGTTAATTGTATAATTCTTTGTAAATATAAATTCTAAACCAAGGCAATATTCTTAGTTTATATTAATGATGGACCAGTTCTCTAGTTCTAAGTATATATTCCTTAAGAAAATAACTTGGTTGTTTACAGAAAAAACTATCTGCGACAATCCCAGAGCCGGGTTTATATCTCATTTTTATAAATGGTATTAGGTCTTTAAACGTGAATATCACAGTGCAAGAGGTGGAAATATGTAATAGAAATAGAATGTTTTCAATTTTTTGTTTCAAACACAAACATTATCTTCGAATATCCATGGCTAATTTCTTTCATTCACTCAAATAATCTATGATGAATAAATCTGACGAATGTAGTATACGTAAGAAATTTACATTACAATGGTATAATCTAAAATCTAAGCACTTAACACGTTGCCCTAGAAACAAGACCCTTACATATACGTTAGAATCGTTTAATTATCTTCGATTTTATGTAAAAAAAAAAAAACTACTCTATCAAACGTTATCGGCAGATATACAGTGTAGTAATCGTGGTTTTGTACTGACAGGGATATTTAAAAGAGATTGAAAAGAATGAATCCTGCCACTCTATTTTAGGGGCATAAGGTAACCAAACTTGTATATATCTCCTTGTAGACAGTCGTACGACAGACGTCTAGAGCAGCAGATCCCAAGTACAATAGCCTGAATATGATACCCAGGCGTTGTATGACATACACAGTATAAGTATAGTATCAGAGACATCAAGACTATGTTCTTCTGTAACTAAATAACCTGTCATTTCCACCATCTATTGTTTACGCATTTCTTCTGATATACATCCGACCTTAATTCTGTTTGATTAATTATAATACGAAGGATGTTAATTATATATTGATTAGAATGATCGTTAATATTTGGGCGTGTGCATACGGACTGAAGGTGTGTCGGAACGTACGCTATTATATTGTGCCAAGGTTGTGTCAGAGAGGAAATTAGTTAATGATCTTAAACGACACTGATGGCATTATACGAGGCTTATCACAGCTAATTAGACATATGAGGAGACGATTAAAATTAATAAAAATTAATTTGCGGTTTGTAAATGTACTTGTATGTATGTATGCTCTATCACGCGTATTACACATATCGGTCAGCATAGAGCTAGGAACAAAAGCTTAAGCTCAAAATGAAAATAAGGTAGGAGCCTCCCAACATTGGACTCTTAAAGTGTGATATTTTTTAAAGTTGACTTCGATAGCACCACAAGTTATTCAGTATCAAACTGAGGTTTGTTTATTGAACGAGAGGTTTCGGGATTAAAGGCCTTAAATCCGTCTAATACTTAAAGTCTTGGTCTTCGGGGCAGGTTTTAAAAAAAAAATAAAAAAAAATAAAGATTTCAAGAAAATCTCAATTCATGTCCATAATCGTGTATGGAAGTAACGCTTTAAGACTTTAATATCTATTTTATTTATTAAATCGGTATATCGTGGATTAAAAATATAACTATTAAGCTCAAATCGCGGCTCCCCGTGAAAAGGCAACTACTATGCTGATTGACTACCACGCGAGATGTCAAAATATCTGAACGGAAACGAAATCAAGGTATATTAATATATTCTAATCCAATTATAACACGCTAACTTCGTATCCGTGTGATTTGGCTTCGTATAACGCCGGTGTAATTTACGAAGGTCCCTCGGCTTTCGTTGGCTATTTCATGTACAGCTAATGAAAACAAATCCGTTTAAAACTTGTATAATAATTTCATTTATGATTCCCGATGTATCATTTTATGTATAGTTTAATCTGCAGTATAGACGCAAATTTCAGCATTACCTAAGTTAATTGGATATTCATTGCTTTTTAATATCCAAGGATAACTTTGCATCCGTTTTTGAAAACATGATAACCAAAAACGTCCGCTTGAGTGCATGTTCCTTGAAATATCAAATGAATCGTAAACAGACATTACATGTCAAAACATCATAAAAACACAGGCATTGACAAATATGAATGTCCATATAAGGCGATGTAATGGCAACATTAATCCAAGGCCGATTCCAGTAGGTGTGTGTGCACCTCGCGCAGGTGCGCGACATATAGAAATTTCTGTCAGCATCCAACCACTGTATTGAAGGGTCACAGGAATACAGGTGGAACTAAACATCATCAAAAGTCTCCCATATGTCTACGTCACAGGACTCGGATAGACCTGCCCTTTACACTATTATTGGACCACATTACAAGGGATCAAGTTCGAGGAAGTTTTCTTATTTGCGACATTCAAGGTTCTTAATGATTAAAATAAAAATAAAGATAACACGGTTCTTAAGAAATATTTTCATTTAGATAAGAGGAATAGATTACTGTTTTCATACACGGGTTAGAGAGAAATATTGTGATTCTGGTTAATTTTAGTACCCTTGTATATGCCGTGTTATTGTGAAATGTTACAATACATACAGCTTAAACATTGCTTATTGCAATGATTGAATTTGTAATCTCGCTTGATAATATACCGGTATCACAAATGTCTCTAATACGACCGCCAAATTGAATGAACCACTGACCATAAACCATACTGACCAAATGAGCTCGCTCTCGATTTGCTGGTGAACAGGGTCGGTCATTCTCGAGATATATCGGTATTCGGCGAATGAGAAAAATCTCATAATGGCCTGGCAAATATATTGTTGTTATCTTGCTGCTGACACGATGTAGATTGGGAGAGCTCGTCTCGGAACATCAATAACGGTGATAATTGAAAGCGATATAAATTGATGGGAAGCCTAGAAACCTACTAAAACGACGGAACAACAGATTTGAACGTAGTTACATCCAATTTGAACGCACGATGTATCGAAAACATTGCACCATGAAATATACGTTGCCCAATTCATCTACTCTCTTACGGAGACGTTTCGTCAGAGCGGTTCGAGGTATTTCCCGTCACCATATATCAAAAATAATAAATTCGGCTTGGACATTTTACATTTCATGGCTGTCGCTTTCGATAGGTAATCTTATATATATACTGCCATGACAAACTGACTAGGGGTCATATGGCCATTTGAAGGGAAAAAAACGATCCTAAAATGAAATTGAAGAAAGAGCGTTTTGTGATTAATGTCTCGAATCTTCCCAATAACAACGCTGGTAGTTAATGTCATCATATATCTAGTAAGATTTATAAAAACATGGTGCATTAAAACATGTTTTCGATTACGATTGGACAAAATAATAATACAATGGATCGCAAATACGAATTCTCTGTACGTTGGGGAAATTGTCCTGGTACCTTATAGGTACTTCTGGTAAAGAGGAAATGATAGAGGTACATCTGTTATATATGAATACGAACAGATCAACACATCAACAGATTCACCAGAGGTATCTGAAATCAAAACCGGAAATAGACCTTTCCTCCGGATTGGCGCGTGCGATGGCAGACGACAGTTGCATAACATTGTACTTAAGATAAGGACACGTTTCAATTTCATCAATTATGATATAATATATCCCAAAATGACTTGATTTGACAAATTGTTCAGTTTATTTGCGAGCTTCTGAAATCATAAATCTGATCAATGTGTGGCGGTAATGTGGTGTGTGCGCCGCACTTTATCGTGTCTAGGTCGACCTGTCAACAGTTGTAAATGGCGTGAAACTGGATACAAGTATATACAACAGGCGACAGCGACTACTGTCCCATCAGGAGAGGAGCAATTTGGCGAAATGTTCAACCTGTCAAATTATCGAATTGGTCAAGCTCTAACTTGTGGGATAAGTCTAACCAATTATCACTGACAGTTGTTTTGTATAAACGTAACGTCGTATGAAGTTAAAACACCGTACCGATTACTTTGAATGGAAGTTGAGCCTACATGAACCGTTCAATGTGACGTCTTTAGAAATAAAACCGTGTATGGATTTCTAATTACAGACATATGACTATCATATTTATATCCATTTTCTGGAGATAACATCTGTGTCATACAGTCCTGATATCCCTCCTAGATATTGGGGAGATAACATAGTAGCTCTGTAATCGTGTAACTGTAAGGAGTAGACTATATATCTAGTAATACTGTGTAAATCTTGTGGACGGTATTATAAATCGAAGTATACACGCAAATGAGCATAGCCGTGTAAACAGGGCAACCGTGAGCAATTACAATTTAACTGTGGAATTGTTAATCTGGACACGGATGGACTGTAACTCTCACCAGCATCTTTCTACTCGTTTCGTTGTATGAAAACTACATGACTGAGAGTAGCACACAATCGGTATTTGATACAAAGGTATAGCGATGCTACCACAGCAAGTACCTCAGCGTATTACATAATCCATGAACAACGGAAAACTTTGGCAGCCTTGTTGCTGGACATATTACATTCAAGAAATAACGAGAGATACACGTTCAGTTACCGTTCGATTTCACCAGGTAGACTCTAAAATATCACGGAGAGCAAGAGGCGGGTAAGACCTCCCTCCCTCTCAGGATAAACAGACACACGACCTTGCTCTCAGGATAAACAAACACACGACCTTGCTCTCAGGTGAGATCAACACACGACCTTGGTCTGAGGTAAGACCAACGGACGACCTTGTTCTTAGGTCAGACTAACACACGACCTTGGTCTGAGCTATCTGATGCATGTATCGCATGTCTGTGTTATCTGGTAAGGTGAATGCAATGTAGTAAGAATATCTTTAAAACACACATCTGCGATGTTACGGGGGCACCTCGACCTTTCAACTAGCAGAAACGATTGACGGAATGCCTGAATGAATCAAGATGAATAAGTAAAACGAGCCATCAAAGACACGCTATATCTGACCTACTGTTGTTGTAAATTACGTATCATTCATCAGGACCGAGGTCGGAATGCAGGCCAACACGCACGTTCGTTAATGAACCTCCCAGACACGTGCCCGGCGCTTGTTTGTCAAGACAACACATGCTGTGGAATGTCGGACAGTAGTTGTTACAACGTTTTTTGACAAGATACGGGAATAGATAGGAAAGGGGGAGGAATGGTGGTGATATCAACCACAGTAGCCATCTGTACGTCCTCGTCAAACTTGACCTTTGCCCTTCTGACCTTCTCCTCTCAGTCAACAGTTCATTTCCTATATTACTTTTACTCTAAGGTCATAAACGAATCGTGAGAACAACGAACCTATGATAGACAGAAAAAAGATTGTTTTTTTCCGCATTTGTAACTACATGACGCTTACACGTGCACTTATCGAGAACAAGCCTAATAATACGTATGTGTTATCATTTTAGCCGCTCATTAAACGCCGTTATTGTGTCTAACTCGACAAATATTGGTCTTAACATTGAAAACCATTTAAATCATTAAAATGGTCCACCTACGTTTTGACAAATGCATACTATAAAAAAAGAGAGAGTTAATTTACCTTGGTAAGTGGGAATGGACACGACCCTGCACAGTAGTGAGCTTCGAATGATTTTGGAGCGATGATTTTATCCTCCCAGCCAATATCTGCAAAATCAAGTATAAGCTTCCTCTTGCTACAAATGTCGCCATGTTGGTTTTCCTCCGTTCCAGTTCCCCGAAATCTATCCCACTCTTTTGGAAAAAGTAGATTTGAATTCTTATTCTTTCGTCTCCTATTTTTCCTTTTATTTTTCCTGTTTTTGCGGTTGTTTCTTCTATTTTTCCTCCTGTCTTCATCAGGGAATGGAATCAAACGAGAGTCTGAAATTTTGTGTCGACTCTCCCGTCTTGCTTGTAATATGTCGGGATGTGTTTGAGGAATATTGAACTTCCTGTGAAAGTTGTCATAGTCTGCAGGGTCCTCTGGAATTTTGTTATTGAAAATGGAGCGTTTTTGACGTCTCTGTACACTTTTGGATGTTTTATCTTGAGAATGATCATTAGAATCGATTTCGCTATTTAATTTGTCGTCTGCAAATCTCCGTGAAAAATCTATTAAACTGCCAGTGTTACTACTCACAAAGTCACTATCTTCTTTCTTTTCTTTATGCATATTTTCCGCTAAATTTTCCAATGAATCTAATTCGTTATTTTGAGTATCGTTTGAATAAATTATAAGGAACGGCATGGAATGATGTCGAATAAATTTTTTGAGGGCCACATCTTTGATTTTACCATTCTGCCATTCAACTTGAAATTTCAACGCAAACAAATGTGGTGTATCCCTCCGCGCTGCTAAGCAACTAAGTGCGGCATCTGTGACGTCATACCACTGCCATCCAAAACTTTCGGCCCTCATCGTAATTTTACCATTTTCACTCATGTAGTGTGGTGCGATCTCATACATGAGTAAGTCCAAGTCTCTTCGCCGTCGTCTAGCTTTCTTCATTTTTCTTTTGTACAGGTGAATTTCTGCACTCAATAGTCTTTCCGATGGTATGATGGAGGTAAGATTAAAGACGAACATCTCCTCGCCGTTCACCTCAGCTGTCAAAGACAAGTTATAAAATCAATTATCAACAAATTCTTCTCTCCGTAAATAGATTTATAAAAAAAATAATTAAATAATAACCTTTTTAAACATTAAGATAAAGATAACTCGTGCAATATATTACCATGATATATAAAAAAAAATATCCGTCAACATTCCTATCAGTTTTTTTTATTTCAAACTACTTTTGATCAACCAATTGAAACGAGAAAAAACTGTTTTCCCGTATCGAGCAATGTGTTAGCTTTTAAATTCACATATCTATATAAAACGTTAGGTAAATCTCTTTATAATGACATTCGTCTACTCTTAATCACATTTGTATATAGTTTATTATCGAACTATCTGAAATACAGCATGGGAATTATACACATTTAAAATCAGTTTTCGTTCACTTGAACATGTACATTGTACATATTGAAATGTATATCATGTGTAATGTACAAAAGGGACCTGTACGTCTGTGATACAATCTGTAGATAAAAATATGTATGGCAATTTGTTAAGTAGCTTCAGAAAGAGGAGATATTCTGAATATTTCATTTGATGTATTATAAAACAAAGAAATAAATGGATTGAAATGTGTATATGCGGGCTATATATATAGATAGAGAAATTATCAATTGTTGGGCGGGCAACCCTGATGTCGTCTGCAGAGTACATTGCTTTCAGAAGCAGAAGATATCCTCACAATGTGTCTATCTGTATAGCTGTATTATTAATTCTAAGTTAAGATAGACAACCCATTAACATACAAACAATAGCCCTTGGTAATCTGCGGTAGAGGTATTCGCACTAAGATATGTGGAACACATGCAGGTTTTACACAGAAACTGCGATAACACTACCGCCATCACCAAAAACAACAACGCACAGATTCAGATTGAAACAGATGTATACGTTTTTAGATTACTTTTGCACCCTTTAGATACAATTACAGCTGGTTTCGGTGGCTTGTATTTGATTTGTTACCAGTAAAGGCCGACTTTTCATGCATAGCAAGCATCTAAGACTAGTAAATCGTTATCACGTTATAGCTACGGTAAAAAAACTAAACTGCCCCTCATAATGATAATGTGTCATGTATAAACAAGTCTATGAAACTTCCATTTATTATAATATCTGCTTCTTTTAATAGAAGGCCACTCTAGTGTGACCTGTTGTCGCGGTACCCAGAGTTTAATTAGACCTTCTCTAGAGTAAGCAGGTGTTTCTGTTATAAACCAAGCGACATTTTACATTTGTGTGTCGTCAAAATGAATATACATATATACACACACCCTCGCGCACCTGGCCTACCTGTCCTGCTCATCAAGGAGGAAATGTATGATTTAATGTTTAACCTCCTACAGGCCTTACTCGGGACTCCGTCACCATATACTATGATATCTCAATCGGGCGGCGACACAATCATAATTCATATGATAATTTTGCCGTTTACTTGGTTACGATCTCAAAATTTGTTTCCATGACTATTAAGTGTATTGAGGGACACATTAGCCAGGCTGCCTATTTCACGGAAAAGTAAATGTAGTTTTCCTGTAGTAAAGTTCCCAAGTGACCGGACTTTCGATCAATGTCAGTTGAAAAAAGGAAAAGTACACCTCATCCCCTGTACCATCTGATTGAGCACATTATTCAAACGTTGACAACTCTTACTAAGACAACAGCTTTATGACAAGGTTTGTAACAGGCAGAATTACGTCCCAATAAAAACAGTCTTTTTCTTCTTTATAACAACTTATTGAGACAATGACAACTGAATACAACGCGTTAACATTTAAAAGACTTTAATAACTGTTTCCCATCGCAATAGAGGTCCAGATAAATTATTGCTTCTGTTTCTACACTGCATAATAAATATATATAAATTGTAAATACAAGATAGTGTATGCATGCAAATAATGATGAGGAATGTAATTAAGCGTCACAAAACAAAATGACGTCATGAAAAGTTATACAATATCGAATTAAAACAATGGTGTCTGCGACCAGGACCACCATGTCTTAACGACTTATATTCCACAAAATATCGCCGCTCTTTTCTCATTTTAACCCGCCGTGGTTACTTTATCAGGGTTCTGATGTCATGTTGAAAGTCATTTAAATAGATTATAATAACAGTGTTCGGGTGCCGTATTGGTAGCTACGTATTGCAGGGTCACTGCCTCTGTATGGAGAAACCCATAGCTGCACCTCAGGGCTCTCGTGTGTTCATTCGAGCCTCTAAGCGAGTCCACAGGCACGCAAACTTCGTATTACCCGTGGCGCTCCACCTAGGCCATCAGAGGTAACGGTCTCTACGATTGGGCGTGTTCTCCGTCGTTTTACGGGTACTTCTATACGACCTTTAACTTCGCTTTAACACGATAAAGACATCAAGACCCTAAATTAAAACGTGCATGTCGTCAACGTATCGCCGATATACCTGTGTTAGTACTAATGACGTATAGCCGATATACATTGTACCTGTGTGCTAGTATTAGTATAGCTGTAATACCTGTCTGGTAACGAATATACACTTACTCTATGTTAAACCAGCCTTGGAATATAGCAAAATAACAGTGTATATAATAGTCACATCATTATTTACAGTGTTGAGCACATAATATGAAGACATCGAAACACAATCGATGATCGATTCTTTATGGTCCTTTACAGTCCTTTACAGTCAGCTAACCTTGGAACACCACAGAGTATAGCTGTATCCTTTGACATGGGGCTGGCGGAGAAGCCTTGAATTTAGAAGTAAGAATCGACCTCTTATAATCGTGATACATTAGTAACATTTGAGCACACTGCCGTACGCCATTTTCATATCGTTTTCTTGAATTTGTATAGTCCCTTCTGTTCACCTGTTCAAATATTTCCGGAAGTCGGTCACTAATCCCCAAAAACCTGTTGACAATTACGCTTGTGTGTACCTACTTTTGGCCGGCTTGACTTTGTTGTGTACAATGCGATGGAGGGGTAGTAATTACGGAGAGTTTATTGGTAGGTAAGCGACCGTAGTCTGTTCGGTAATGACGGCTCTATGGTGCACAGTAGAGCCTTCTCCTTCTCAATGGCGTTCACACTCCTGCCACCGTGGCCCGGACATCGGGGCACCAGGACCGCCATTGATGTGGGCCTGACTACAACGACCCGTCTTTATCTACTCTCCTCGACCACTTCCTTTACAATTTATTTACTAGCTCAATGTTTACCCAATATAATTCTGAAAAGTTATAAATGGAGTTTCCTCTGTTGAGTAGTTTTATACCGAACCAGAGGAGAGCGACACACTTACTTACTGACCTCTGCTGTTGGTTGCAATTAAGTTTGTCGTACATTCTATATTTTCTCAAAATCGTGCAATCCTATAAGGTCGTTGTTTTGCTCTTTCGATTTAAAGAAAATATGTTATCCATATTTTGATCCGTTTAATTAGAGTTTAGTGTATCGACTACAAAGAAACAAATGTAAGCTAACCAGCTGTATATAGAAAACGAACGCATAAGATTCCATCCATAAATTTGCAAATTTGGAAAAACTTTCAGTAGCTAAAAAAGTATACAGTGTATTCGCTAGATTACGATATTACGGTTTTAGATAGCATCTGTTATTCTCGGGTAATTTCTATGTTATTCAGATCTGTATAATGTTTTTAAAAGATTCTTGAAATGTCCTTCAGTCCCATTTGACCACCGACAACAGAGAGCCGAGTGGTCAATGGCCGTTGGTCACTGGCGCCGACAGTGACATGGCTTGACCAGCAGGCCGAGTGATTAAGTACTTAACTATAAAACTGTTATGATACTTTGTAAAAGGGATATCTATGGGTCATTATCTGGACAAGAATGTCTGTCATTCATTGGGTTGTGTAGTTACCCCGTCGCTACATCAGAATGTATACGACAGATAGGAATCACGGACAGAGATTAGCTAAATCGCCAGTAAACAAACGTACGGCCATTTGCCTCTGATTACTTGTAACATACGATCTTCAGTCTGACCGCACGATAACATCTGGACTGGAAAATTGCTCTTCATTTAATTGTCATAAAAAGTTTCACCTCTGGTACGGAGGGAACGAATATTGGTAGTTTATGTGAAGACAAAGCATGCAGCATGTATGTATGTAGGGGCTAGAGACTTTAAGAAACTACCCCATCAGATAAGGTAGCTTATATCCACTTAGAAATATTTTTGATCGGTCTATTAAAGCTTATAGACCCTTGATTTTTTTACTTTTTCTTCTACTTTATACTTGACTAACAGAAAAAATCGAATGCTATTTCAGTCAAATTTTGATACATATTTACACAATCTCTAAATACATTAATGTTTCAGCCTTTCCGAGCGTTTAAATAGCTGGCGTACCTAGATCCCTCAAGTATCGGCTTCGAACTCACGATCTACGCCGTCCTAGAGATAAATTGTTCTGCCCTCCATAAATCATCGGTATTCTCTTTGATTGAGATTACAATTATGGAGTAAGAGCAGACGGACAATCTTGGACAGTACACCACGCCCAAACTAGGTTATCTCCCCTCGCCGTGGTATAACGCCCTCACTTACCAAAACATCCTCAGTCTTACAACTATTCGGGTAATTAGTATAACGTGTTTTATTTTTAAGTTCATAATTAAACAAACAGTATCTGTTTAGTGGCATGTAAAAAAAAATATAGAAGAGGACTTCAAGATATGATAAAGTGATACATTTGTTAAATGTTCCAGATTTAATGAAAAGAAATAGTTTAAGCGGGTTTGCCTTTAAGTTGACAAGGACCTAAATGGAAATACAGAGCTCGCACCTGCTAGTTGTACTCTGACAGGGCCGATCCGCGGTTACATAAACCATTTGATAACCAGTGTCTATAGTTACATAAACATATGCTAACAACTTACATGGTAAATTTCAGTAATCAACTTCGTAATAAACGACTCGCCCTTTGTGTTGAGATATGTCTCGGTGTCCAAAGTCGGTCTAACAACATGGCTTTGTTTGAAAA